AGTAAGAAAATGAAGCTTCGTTTGGACATTTTCGAAATAGACTAAAGAATCAAACAAAATGCAGCATATGTAATAAGATTTTACCTTACAAAAGTTCAACCAGTTCAATGCAATCCCATGTATCAATTGATCATTGCATTAGTTCTAAAATATCTAAAAAATCAACAACTTTACTCAACGATGACGATATATCCGATATTGAGAGCGGGTTTATCGGATTTAAATTTATTGAGTGCGGGTATATCGAATTTAAATTTAATGAGATTGGTTTTGAAGAGACTGGTCATAAAATATTAAACAAGTTATCGGTGAATTTTATTGTTGGTACCTATCAACCGATTTCGATAGTACGTCATCCTTTTGTTAGTAAGTTAAACTAAAGCTACAAGATACCATGCATAAATACGGTGAGAAAGAAATTAATTCCATCAATTACGGACAATCTTAAATCAATTTTATTAATAGAATCGAAGGGATGTCATTTTATTACAACTACTTGTAATAGTTGGACATCATTGGGTAAAAACAGCTACCTCGATATGACTTTACGTTTTATTGACAAAAATATGACTGTAGTTAAGCGAAACCTGGATCTTTAGTTTATGTCTGAAATGAAAACAGCTGAATATTTATTTAATACATTAAACGAAATCTTCAGTGAATGGTAAATCAATAAGATTTTTGCACTAGTTACTGACTGAAGTGCAAATATTTTCTCAGCAGTAAATAAATTTGACGATAATGTTCTTAAGATACCGTGTGCTGGTCATCGTTTGATTCTCGTGGTTAATGATCTTCTAACCGCGAGAGATATAAAAGTAAAAAAATTTTAAAATGGGTCAAAGCGTTACCAAGTAAAATATTACGATGGTAATGGAAAATTAATAGAGAAATTACAGAAATTGAAGTTTAAGAAATTAAAAATATTAACGAAGGCAAATTAGGAATCGCCAAGGTAATTTCATCCTGTAGGCACATTGTTGGTCAATTTAAGCATTCAGAGATGTTACAAAAAAAGTTAAAAGAAGTTCAAGAAACACTTCGTTATGAAACTAAAATAAGGTTGGTGCAGGATATAGCTATTCGCTGGAATAGCCAATGCGATTTGATTGAATCTATATTAACTAATAAAACTGCATTGGATATGATAAGCATCGAGTTCCAAAATATAAAAGACTATCTTTCCACTGCAACTTAATTTAAAGTGCTGGAGGATTTGCGTGATTTGTTACACCCAATTAAAGAGCTAACAAAAAGTTTTAGCGGAAAGAAATATTTTACAGTAACATTCCTGTTTCCAACACTGTACTCTCTACTAAATGGAATACTTGAATCGCAACCTATTTTTACAGAACTAGTTAAGACTTTCCAAAAGGAATTATTAAGGTCTCTAAAAAAATGTTTTAAATATATTTTTGCTAATGGTTTTTCCATAGCAGCTACTTTTCTTGATTTCAAATTTCGTAAATTCGAGTTTATCAAAAATGATATCTATAGATATGAATGCATTTCAAAGGTAAAAATGTTTATAAAAACACTTTATGAAATGCATCTAAAAGAATCCGAATAAATCGATATAACAATTAAAACAAATTGTTTAAATAACACTTGGAACTCGTCAAACAGCTCGGCTGACAATACCATAAAAACATTTCAGCAATCGTCAACGCCACCTATTGCAAATAATATTACTTTAGTTAACAACAGAAGACGACATTAAATCAACTTAATTGAACTAGTAACAGATAAATCTTGTTGTAATTTAATTGAGAGCAATGATAAACTTGGAAAAGAAATAAATGATTACAGTCTGCAATACTTTCAGAGCTATGAAAATAGTGCCATTGAATTTTTCCAAACTAATCAAAAATTGTTCTCGGTTTCGACACAAATTGAATAATAACGACACAAACGAATAATATTTTCAGTTCCAGGGACATCCGTGCCATAAAAATGTTTATTTAGTTCAACCGGTTTAATAGATACGGAGCTAGGGAACAAGCTTGCGCCGAGCCTATTGAAGCAGTTAGTTTTTATTAAAGAAAACAAGTAATCAAAAACATTTCTTTATTAAACTATATTTTTGTAAAAGTGTATTTTAAAAATCATAGTAATTCAAAGCATTTGTATTTTTCTTTTATCTGATGAACTTTTTTACAAACAGCTTAATTAATGACATTATGTTTTCTGCTATATTCTTTTCAATTCTATAAAAAACACCAATATCCAATCCTTGAGCTGCTATCAGGGCATGTGCAAGTAGGTGTGACGTGGTGGGGTGTCATTAAAAATTAAAAAAAAATTAGGTCCTTGTTTTTTGAAACTTGACGATTAACCTGTCTAAAAGGTCTACATTTGCCGACTTCTTTAAAAGGGTTATTTTTGCCGACTAAATGGACAAAAAACGTATTGAGGAAGGTGTGTGTGTGTGAATGATTCGTAAATTTAAATAGTTTTTCCCAGTCACTAAATGGTTTAGAATTTGTAACTAAAGAGGACTAATTTCATAGCTTGCAACAGTTGCATTTACTGTTATGATATTGCCCTTTTTTAAGAAATCTTGTTGTCCAACCAACTAATTATAAATTTGATTGTTTTATTTTTCCCTAACTTGACGAAAATCTTTATGAGCAAAAAAGTTATTAAAAGAGAGTTTACTGTTAACTTTCTAGGAGATTATAGATAAAAATATATCATTAAAATATCATATTAAATCTATTGAAAATAAAATCCCCCAAAATACTTCAATGCTATATAAAGTTAAACCTTTTCTTAATACGGAGTCATTGAAAATTATATATTTTTTATTTAGAGAGAGTTAGGGCACGGTGGATTGGATTTCTTTCTTTTTTAATTTGAGTGAAAGTTAAAATATATTTTTTATCTCTGTCAAGGCTAAAGGATTGAAAAATATGTTCTTCATGATAAGAAATCACTAAAACCTAAATATTTATAATCTAGCAGCTCACAGAAAGGTTAAAGGCGAGTTGTGTTAAAGGATTCACTGTACCCCAGTATTGGGGTATAGTGAAACAATTAACTCATCTGCAATTTAGTGGTAGTTAATGGGGGCGTAGCCAAACAATTTTGAGGATGAGGGTGTAAATAAATTGTACACTATACTTTTGACGCAGTTTTGGTAATTAAAATTAAATAATTTAAATTTTTTCTGATTACAAAAACAAAGAATAAATTTTATTGATAATAAAACTTATTCAACCATCTAGAATCACAAAAAAAAAAATTTACCTAATAAAACTTATTTAACCAACAACAAAAGAAATTTTTAAAAGTGAATTTTTTATTTTTATAAACATTTTAATTTTTATAAACACTTTTATCACAGTGAATCAATTGATTCACGGTACCCCGATTCATTGTGTCCCACCATAAAAAAAAACGGTTCAAGTTTAATTTCTTAGGACATGAGTGATATTAAAGTAAAAGCAAAGCTACTAAAATGACGCATAAATATGAGTATTCCGAGTATAAAACTTTAACTTATAAATGATTTTAATCATGATCTCCACAACAATCATAAAGATGGTAAGAACATTTACTTTAGTTTGCTAAAAACATAAATTACCTACCAAAAACCGAAAGTCAAAAATTATGTGGTAACACCTATAAATAAAGATGGGTGATATATGCGCATAAAAATCATCGTTATGAACAAAATCATAATCTTCAAGAAAATGCTTCTTATTCACTGTGCCCCTTAATCCACGTATCCCTACTTTCCCTATTCATAGTTATCTTTCCTATTGCAATCTTGCATAGGAAAGTACCAATTATGGGAAGCTCAAAAAAATTTATAGCAAACAAAAACATACTTGCAGGATTATATTTGGCGTTAACAGAACTGTTAATGATGAACCTCTTTTAAAGAAACTTAATGTGCCTAATGTTTATAAACTTTATTTATTTTTACGTTTAAATCAAAACATGCGCAATCTCCTAATATATTTCACTCTTACTTTGCAGAAATATCTCATTAATACCCATCTGATAATTTTGTTATTCCAAGATCTTATTTAAAAAAATTTTTACGATTTTTTACTTGTGTTTTATATGTGTAGAACTAATATTGCATTTTATTTTTAAATTTATAATTTTTAACTTGTAACTTTGTGACGTTAATGTAAACGAGGCATGTAAACGAAGCAAGAAGAAGACAGTTTATGTCTTCTACTTGCTTCGGCTATTTTTTATATATGTATGATCTTCCTCATGGTAAAATTTATTATACGGCAAAAAAAAGATAATAATTGGACAAAAAAAAAAAAAAGCTGGTTAAGTTTTTTTAATGTTATAAATCATGGTGCCTCATTAAAATATATTCTTTGTACTCTAAAACAGATTCATTACATACTAAACATGCTGGCGCCGAAATAAATTTACCAAAATGGTATTCTTTTGCAATATATATATATATATATATATATATATATATATATATATATATATATATATATATATATATATATATATATATATATATATATATATATATATATATATATATATATATATATATATATATATATATATATATATATATATATATATTTTCATTGGACATAAGCATAACATAATTAAAGTTTTTAAAACGAATGTGTCCTATCTGAATCATCAATATGCCATATACTATTTTTTACTTTCTGCTTTCTTTTTCATATAACAATATAAATCATATGAAAAATTTGGTATAAATATATCTAAGGTAATGTTCCTAGATATCACTTTAATGTATCCATGCTTAAGAGAAAAACAAGAACAAAAAAAAAACATTAATATGAAAACAAGTTTATAAATGAAAACTTGATCAATGCAAAGAGGCTTCTTGTTATTAATATCTTTATTGGTAAAATGAGTATTAAATTTATATATTAAAAAGGTTAGTGTTAAATTACTAATACCAAATAGACTTTTTTAAATTATAGAGAAAGATCACTTTAAGTTGTTAACTTTTTGTATGTTTTTAACTTTTGCATATCTAGAAATTAAAGTTGTGCTGCTAAGATACAATCGAGGATATAACTATGGACCTTCAGTTCAACATTTTATGCAAGAAACAACTTTTAAAAACAAACCATCGTTGCCAAGCTCTTCGTGTTTGTTAACTTTTAACGATGGAAGTTCTATAAATAACAATATGGGTGGTCAAGTATTTGCTTACTTTGTACCACCGGAGACAGGAATCTATTATTTTACTATTAAATGTACTTACAACTGCAATTTATACATCTCCACGGTTGGTAAGCAAGACAGGCGAATCTATATAAAAGATCCGTGAGTTTTTTATTTATATTTTTTTAAAGTAAAACAAAAATTGCAAAAAAATAATTTTATAACTTAAATATCTGTGTGTTTTTTTTAACGTCTTATTTTTAAATTTTTGCTTTAATAAATATATTTTACTTTTAACTGTATTTGTATTTCATTTTTATTGACTTCTATTAAAACTCATTTTTTAGAGGTAAAGGTCCAGCAATATATATGAAAGAAAACAATGTAAAATTTCTTGAAATGTTGATTGCTATTCGGCAAAATGATGGAAATGGGTACACAACTTCATTTTCATTAGGTGTTACTTTTCCAAATGGAACGGTATCTGATCCAGTTGACAACCGGTATTTGGCATCTAGATTTTAAAAACTCAAAATGAATTTTATCAAACTTTATATATTTACATTTACATAATTCAAAATTAAAACACAATTCGGTACTTTAATATTTGTAATACGATTTTAAAAATCGTTTTTAAAAAAAGTAGCATTAATATATATATATATATATATATATATATATATATATATATATATATATATATATATATATATATATATATATATATATATATATATATATATATATATATATATATATATATATATATATATATATATATATATATATATATATATATATATATATATATATATATATATATATATATATATATATATATATATATATATATATATATATATATATATATATATATATATATATATATATATATATATATATATATATAGTAAGTAGTTAAAGGAATTTAAGCTGTGTGTATTTGTTAATACTTTTATTTTTTGAAATTATTACAACTAAGTTATCATTTTATATTAAAAATTTACTGCTTATTATTTAATTATAAGAAAAAACTTTATATAAAGACATTATTGTAATATTTGGAGAAGATCTGTTTTTTAAAATCATCTTTATAAAGAGTTCTTGAAAATAACCAATTTTTTTACAATTTCAAAAAAAAGGCTTATCTTAAACTCAACTGTTAAGATTTTTTTCACAAAAACAAAGTCATCTAAACAGTGTTTTTGCAAACGTTCTGAGTGAGTTTTGATTGGTTTAGGTGAGTTTTGGTTGGTTTAGAATTTGATAACGAATTCTGAGTTTGACTTTGTAGAAGATTTAAAATCAAGGAATTTTTTAAATTGTTTTTTAAAAATAAATTTTTGACACATATATTGAATCTTTTTTTGGTTTTTGTAAGTGGTAGTTTTTTGTTTTGCAGAAACATAAAGAACTTATCTCATATTTAGTTGGCAAAATGTTTTTTTTTCTATTGCCAATGGATTATGTAAAAAGAGTAATTTATCCAAAAAAAGACAGTAGCAATGTGGTTTTTGCAATACATTTTAGTAGAATTTACTTAACTAATAATGTGAAAAACTAAAAAAATCTCACAAAATCACATTTTAAACTAATTTTTTTTACGTATTGGTATATTTTTATGTAAAAACAATATTTGAACAACAGATGTCTAAAATGGTTGTAGACTGCTTAATACAACATTGATACAAAATAGGTTATTACTGCAACGTCAGCATAAAATCAACAAGTAATTTGATTTCTGTATTATGAAAAAAAGGATTATTAATCTTAGCTTTTTCATTATTTTTATCTGTTTTTAGTAAAACAATCGTCTATATTTTTAAAATTATAGTAAAAAAGTTGTCTAAATAGGTTTGTAGTAAAACAGCGTTTTTGAGATAGAAAACTGACTAGCTAGTAAAATCCACACAAGTTTTACATCGTCAATTCTGTACTTGACTTTGATATAAATAGAATTAAGAACATCAAGAAAAATAAGTAATGATCAACCAAAACAGAAAAAAACCTGAAACTTAAAATAAACCGAAACGTTCGGTTCTCTAAATCGATGCCGAAACCAAACCCAACTTTTCGGCTAATATTTTACCGAAACCGATACCGACATTATGGCTGATCAAAACTAATTTCATTAAAAAAAAATTTATAAATACAATTTTACATGTTGTTTTTTTATACTCGTATTATTTTAAAATTGATTACACGCGTAATATATATACTGAAATAAATATACAATTGCAGTTGCTTAAATAAAAAATGTTAATCGGAAGAAGCAAATGTGGATGGCGTGGTGCCAGTAAGATGGTATCAATATAATCTAGTCTCAATTAAGTTATTCTTGTGATAGAGGAACTCATTCAAAGCCTCTCTTAAGATAAATGAATGTTTTAAACATATATCAACTTAACGTATATAATATTCTTTTTTTTATGTTCAAATGTAAAACGAAATTATCCCCGTCTCCTTTTCATAGTTTATTTATTACAAAACAAAAAAATAAATATAATCTACGAAATGATGATATTTTGATGCAACCATTTTCGAAAACTAATCAATGTAAATTTTGCGTATCGTTTCGGGGACCATATCTTTGGAACAAAATTGTCTTAAATAACTTTAATTTTCTTTTGAATGGAATTACATATCTTTCAAAAAAAAAGTTGAAAGAAGTAGTTTTTGAAATTGACAATATACAAATATAATTTTAAACCTTTTGAAATTCTTTTTATCCATTATTTATATTGGTTTATATGATTTGTAATGTATGGTTTTTCTTGATATGATTTGTTACTCATATATTTACGATCTTCAAGCCTATACTGCTATTATACTATCTGTCCAATTGTTTTTAAGAAATTTTTTGGTAACTTTTTATTGTTTTGTAGTTTTTTATTTTAAATCTTGTTATTCTTTTATTATTGCATAACACTTTTTTATTGACTACGTAAAATATTTTACTTATAAAAATAAAACAACGTCTTTTTACCGCGGTACTCGACGACAAGACCTTACGGTCTTCGACGAGTTTCCGCGTTCTTTATATATATATATATATATATATATATATATATATATATATATATATATATATATATATATATATATATATATATATATATATATATATATATATATATATATATATATATATATATATATATATATATAAATATATATATATATATATAATATTTTCACTTGTAATTGTTTATATTTTTTTATTTTAGCTTGTAAATTTTATAAAATTTTAACGTCATTTTTCAAAATATAATAAAATGTTTGTCGCAGGTAAGTGTTTACCGTTTTTTTTTTACCGTTTATTTTTAAGACTAGTTTTTTAATGTATTGTGCTTGAAGAACGTTGCTTATTACATATTAATTTAAAATATTTTTTTCAGGCGAAAAGTAAAACCTGTAAACAATTTCTCTCTATATTTACTTCTTCAAGCGCCAGTGAAACGAACGATAGAAAAGAAGAAGCATTCAGTAGGCTTGCAATTTTTTTTATATATATTTTTAAATGATCTGAATAAGTTTCTCAAGGTGTATTAGCTGAATTATCTTTTTGTTTTGAAAGTCTCTAGTCAATAACGGATTTTTAAATTGTTATGAGTCTGCAATACTTAATTTCAGCGAAATTCAATTAAAAAGTCATGTTATAGAAGACAGAAAAACATCAATATCTGTTTTCAATAACTTGGCTTTCATAGCGAATCTGAGAGGTGCAAGTGTTTAGCTTGATTTAAGTACTACATAATAAAATAAATCGTTGTGCAGTCATTTTAATGGTTGTAAATTTATTTTGACTAAATATATTTTTAGACTGTTTACCGTTTGACTCCTGTCCCAATCTAATCTAATGGGTTCAAAAAGAAGGGACCGCGCTGGAAACATGAGTGGATTAAATGGATCAGCCCTTTTTAAATTAATAGTCGGTAAGTATAATGTGCTCCACGAAGCTAATCAAGTTTCGTTCGCTGTTTTTGTATTACATTTAAGTAATAGACTGTTTTTTATGTTCGCTCTTTTTTTAGAAGTGGTAATCAGCTAGAAGTCGTAACCTGTTCGTATGAAAGGATTTCTCGACGTGAAATTGTTAATTTTATTCAACAATGCCAAGAAACACAGCTCGCTCAAAAAACAGAAAAGAAAGAGAAAGAAGAAAAAATATTATGTTAAACAATACTATTGTTTTATTTATAAATTATTCTCCTACTTTAACATATAAAAGATGTAAATAATGCTTCCTCTTTTATATTGACATCTAAAAGAGGTTTTTTTCTCGGCATCGGAAAAAGCCTTATTTCATACTTTGTATAAAGAGCTATTATCATTTTCATTTGAAAAAATTTTTCAAAGTTTTTCATATAAGAAAAGTAGAAATAATATAGTGTATAGGATATTTTAGTATACTAATAAGTATGACTAAAAATTCGTTCCGACCTCGAGAAAAAACACTTTTTTAGAAGTGCATAATTGATAAACAAAGACGTCTTAAAGACACACTTTTTATGTCTTTTCATGACAAGTTCTCAGACAAAAAAGACACATTTTCGAGGTCTAAAACAGATGTCGTTTAGATTTCCATATTCGACTTAAAAAAGACGTCTTAAAGACGTATTTTTTATTTTTTTTTACGACAAGATTAAAATAAAAAAAAGACGTCTTTTCGATGTCGAAAAAAGATGTCTTTTAGATTTGCATAATCGATTAAAAAAAGACGTCTTAAAGACATCGTAAAAATAATCCGGGTCTACGTAAAAATAATCCGATAATTATATCTTTATATTGTTTAAGTTAAATAAAAAAAATTCAATAAATACAAATATATTAGCTAATTTTTTAAACAAGTGTTTAGATGTTTGACTATAAGTTTATTTACCGCATTTCAAACTAATGTTTGTGTATAAATATGATAAAAACAAAAATTGTGTACGATTGATAAGAAGAATTACTTTTTAGTAGTTATGAGATGCTCGCAGTCAGTCTTGTCATTGAGTATTTTTTTCTGGACGTGTAATACACGTAAAAAACAGTTGCATACGTGGTATATATATATATATATATATATATATATATATATATATATATATATATATATATATATATATATATATATATATATATATATACATATATACCTTGTTATTAATATTATTATTTTTTATTATCCATTTGTATTAGGAGTTTAGCTACATAAAAAAAAAAATTTTTATAGTTGTTTAACTTGACTATTATAGATTTTGACTTTACTTTCAGAATGTTTTCGTTGTTTAGGTTTAATAGTAAATCGTTTCTGGAAACTAATTTGTTAAATTAATAGGGACCACGATATGTAATTGGGAATTTTGATAGTCTCAAACGGTATCTTAAAGTTGCCTGTTGCTCTTGTATTGCATTTATTTATATTGTTTTAAAAAAAATGTGCTGCAAAATCTTCTGGAACCAGATTTACTTAATATTTAAACATGAAAAGTATGTTTTGAAATATATTTAATTAAAATATATATTTAGTGCATTCATTTGTTCCAATAAGGATTGATCAATTTTATTTTTATTTTATACTAGTCTTCAAGTATGTTTTTGACGTAGGTAAAATGGATCTAATTTAGATTTGTGGGTACTTCCCCATGCAATATTGG